CTTTTTTTGCTGGAAGGCCCYRGTTCAGTCCCAAGCTGAACAATGATGKAAGAGGCCAATCTGATCTTCCTGGACTCCTTTGCCTCACTTATCATGGAAGGGGTTCAAAACTGTTACCAACAGCAYAGTCAGTTCAATTGAACAAGACACAAAAACCACAACACTCATGAATTCTAAAGCATGGCAATCCTGCAGTCTGGAGCTCTCACCATCATCCTCTGCAGCCTGTTCTAACCATGGATTGGGAAAGCCSAGTGCAATGGAACAATGTGACCAGAACAGCCCACTCATGGAGAARCCTTTCTTAATTGGTGGAGATCAAGCCTGTAAACTACTTAGTTGAAGCAACCTTTTAGGAATGTTTACAAATACATAAACCTTAGAGAAAGATSCAGACAGGAATTGAGCTCACTAACCAACAGCTGCAGCAGCAAATAAAACTTAGTGAGTCTTRGAAGCCCAATTTGACTCACCTTGGGTTTCAAGGGAACCTATCTCAGGAATACCCAGTGAAGTACTTAACAGTTTTTAGGAGAGTGATCCCCAAAGACTGAACACAAAGTCATCACCAATTTTAGGCAAGTTTGGCTACTGTTGTTCTGAGAAACCAGATCCCTGATCAAATTCTAAGAAGCCCCAAGTGCACTCTGCAGGCAGTGGGCACACAGGAAAGAGGAAGGCTGTCACAGTGTCATCCTCCTGTTTATGCACTGCTAATGGAGCAACTGGCAGTGATATTCCAACCCATATTTCTCACATCCATCCCTTCTACCAGCTGCACAGTACACTGCTCTCATTTCTCAATGCCACTGGACCACCTCTCTGATGCTGCACACAGGTGATCCTCTCCCCCACACACTCCCTTGGGACTTAACACTCTATTCCAGCTTCAYATCCACAGAAGTGCTAATCCCTCCTGCACTGCTGGTGCAGGCTCCTTCTGATCATCTCATTTGCAACACCATATGAACTGTCTCCCCAGAACCCCGTGAATAATCTTAACCTGGGCTCCCCCTTTTATGAACACTGGTGCTCAATAGCGGACAATCCATCTCCAGACAACACAGATGGGCAGCTGCACTCCTGCTCAGCTATGCGAGTACTGGGGTGAACACTTCTTTGCCTTCTTAGAAAGTGAAGAGGGGAAYCCTTACATTCCAATGAACTGCTGCTGTTCTACCCTTTCTTCCCCTCACAAAGAAAGGCAGCGACAGCAAAGCAGCTGTTTTGAAGGTAAAGAGGACAATGAGCTGGAGAGAGCAGCAGCCTCCTGCAGCACCCTGGGGCTCCAGCCCTATTAAAGCAGAGGCCCTTTGCTGCTCTGTCACCAWACACTCGGGAATTCCCAGACCCAGGGACTGGGCAGCGTGGGAGGCCATGGCTCACCCCACATCCACTCAGGCAGCAGGGCCATAAGAGGAAGCAACTTGGAGCCTGATTTCATCTGCAAAGTACAGTGGGAACTCTGCTCTGGAGTAAATCCTACCCCCTCACACTCTTCTAAAAAGTCCAAATGTGGCATGTGAACCTCACCCCACAGAGACTACTGGCAGTGACCACCTTCCCAAGGGCTGGTGCCCTACCAGAGGCCGTACACACGGACCCAGTGCACACTCACTCCATTTGTTTCCATCCTCCACAAGAGGTGCAGAAACCCTGTCCCCAACCCCTTACCTACCCCACTTTGACTTTAGTCGTCAGCTTTGCTGTTTTTCCCAGTTCCCTCTCCCTGCCCAGAGATCTCTCTGGGCTCTCAGGTGGGACACCACACCAAACACAGGCTCCCAGCCTCCCCACAAACCATGACCCAAGCAGTGTCTCCCTGCCACCACAGACACAGCTTGGGGAAGGAACACCCCAGTACTCACATCATCCCATTTGATGAAGCGCTCTCCCTTGCACAGGTACTCCTTCACCTCTGGGGGCTGCAGGACGGAGTTCAGCATGGACATGATCCCACAGATGTGCTTCTCAGCTACCAGAAGCAAAAGCAGCTGCACAGTTCACTCCGCCTTGGCCCCYTCTCCTCTATCTCTGCCTCTCACGTGGCAGGGCGTTCTGCCATGGCCACTGTTGGCATCAGAGAGCAAACAACCTCTTATATCCCAGCCCAATTTAGGAGGGGCAGGGACAGGCAGGCGAGGAGTGATGAATCTGCATTGTAAATCAACAGCTCTCCAGGCAAGCAGAGCCTCACCCAAGGTCACCCAGAGGAAGGCTGGCGATGGCTGGGGTGCTCGTGGCCACACACATCCACCGTCCCTCCAGGAGGGATCCACTTCTTGGAGCTGTGCTGGTGAGGCACCCGGCTCAGTGAACTTCCGCAACTCAACTTCCTTAAATGCTCTCTTGACGAAGTACAGGCATTGCCAGAAACACTCCAACTGTTTCAGCAGCTGTGGTTACAGAGCAGCACAGCTCTAGCTACAAGCAGACTGCCCCCTTCATGCAACAGGCCGGATGTCCCAGGAAACAAACTCATTCCTTGCTCTGGACAGATTCCATTTCTGGGGCCGCTCACTGCACTGTCCAGTCTTAAACAGTTTTCCTTTCTCTTATGGGCTCTTCTGAATGTCAGCCTCAAAGTGAGGCAGACCAGCAGAGCAGCTGGAAATTCCCCAGTTGAAATAAAACATTCCCAGAGTCCCGAGGAATTGCACTATTCTCCGGATTCACTTGGGCCTGCAGCAGATATTTGGGACACAGAACAGAAGAGGTGGGCAAAGTGTGGATTATAGTGACAAGGCTGCAGAGAAGTGACCAAAAGCAGAACAGGTTAAAGGCAAACGGCCAAAACGAGTCTCTGCCCCTGACCTTGGAACAAAGGAATTCCATGTGGGCAGCAGAGGAGGAAAAGAGTTCTGCTGGCTGATGGACACTGGCAGACCTGGAGAGTGGCTTATGAAAAGGCCTGAGTTTAATCTTAYGGGCAAGATCAATTTTAGTCAGAGGCAGAGCCCCACAGCTAATTACAAGTGGAGATAACTGTGGTATGATTGCTGTGGATTCCCAGGCACACGGTGGGGTGTCATCCTCATCTCCTAACAAAGCCAAGGTGTGGCCATTGCCATTGCTCAGGGACARGGTGCTGGCAGAAGCAGCACAGACCCCCTAAGAAGGGTGGTACAAACCCTGCTCCCATGCAAGGGGAATCAGATACACCTTTACCCCATCAGGGCTGGGAAGGAATAAGTCTGGTACTTTGGAACAGCCTGGAAAACAGGGGGAATGGTCACTGAAGGAATTCGGAGGGCATTCTCGGGTATTAGTGGCATGAGAGATTAAGTGGTACTGTAGCAAGTGCTCCAGCTGTAAAACTATAAAGGCAGGAATCAGAACTCCTGCTGAAGGAACACAGAACCCTGAGTAAACCCAAAATCTTTTGTCTTTGAAAGGTTTACTTGCCAAAAAAAAAAAACAACAAAAAAAAAAACCCTGGGAATAAGAGAACTTCCAGATTTCCAGCTACCATGGCATTTTCTGCACTTATCAATCTTGCCTGTACAGGAACTGGCTGTCCAAGGGAAGGCTCTATTTCCTTAGGGTCACTGGGATATTCCAAGCCAGTGTCATCAGGATGCCACACTCAGGGAAAGTGGTTAGTCCCAAGCAGAGAAGCAGTAGATGAGAGAGGGTGTAGTGAGGAGTGCAAGTTCTCTACACTTGCCTGATCCCTTCTGCAAGGCCACAGCAGCTTCTGGGCTGCTTCCCTTTAAATTAGGAAGCAGCAGTGGAGAGAATAGAGAGCATCAATCTTGCTCAGARGTGCCTACAGTCCTCCCAGCCTCTGGAACAGACAGCACTGCAGGAAGGCCCTAGAGGTCACAGCTGTGAAGCAGTGAGAGGTGGGATAAGCTTTGCCAGCTGGCACTGCCAAGGGCAGGTGAGATCAGTCATAGCTACTGGATCCTGTGGCTTGACTGATATTATCAGAGTTATCACAGCTTTGTGAATCAAGTGTGCCTCCTGCCAGAACCTTCTTGCCAGGGCCTCACAGAGAGGCTGCTTCTGTCCTTCTCCCACACCCAGGTATTCATCAGTTTTCTCTGCCTCATCAACAAACAAAGTAAGCAAGAATCCTGCCACAGCTTCACTCACAGGTCATTCAAGGTCAGCTTTCCCTAAGGAATAAAACCTTAATTCCATAAGTAATAAAATCATAACTAAGACCCAACCAAACACAAGTAGCATGAAGAGCACTGCCCAAGCTGGTGGCTGCCCTGCAAGGCCACGTGATGCCCAATAGCAAGGGCCAAGCCCCCTTTTGCACAAAGGCTGCCACAAAACCTGCAGCTCCCTTCCTTTTGCYCACCCAGCCTCCTTATCTTCCACTTCACACTCCGTGCTCTGTGGGAGCCTCTGTCCCTTGCATGCAGAGATGGCTGATGGAGCCTTGATAGGACAGAGCAGCAATCCAGCCTTCTGCAGAGAGCTTCAGCATCAGAGCAGGTGGGACCAACAACACTTGAGCAGTATTTGTTTATTCCAAACATCCTTTATTTTCTCTCTCCTGGAAGGCCCATCACCTAGTGTACACTCATCCCATGTCCCTCTGTCTCCTTGCTTTCTTCCCATACCTTCAACACCAGGTGTCCCACCACTTGCTCCAACAGTTTTGATGTGCAAACATTTCTCTCTCTTTTGTTTAATACCCCTCATTCTCTGCCTGTGCTACCTATGCAGCAGCCTGTACCTGTCTCAAGGTGCTTGCAACAGCAAGGCAGGCAGCATCACCCTTCCAACAAGGTTTAGGAGACAAGGTTTGCAAACAATGATTTAAGCCCTGCTGTTAAAATCCCCGATGGGATGGCTCCTGACTTCCAGCAAATTACTCCGTAACCCCCACCCCAGTTTACTCCTGGCATACAGAAAATCTACAAGAAACTTCTCCCAGCGCTGTTCCAGGAAAATTGCACTTTGCCATGTGTAATGCTGTCCTCTAGTGAAGAGCTGTGACACTGCACATCAGCAGTGAACTCCCAGCTCTGCAAATGCCAGCCCATCCTGCTGCTCCTGTGGCTGCTCTGCCCTCAAGAGCTCTGGCAATCCGGAAAGGATTAACGATACCATTAAGACCACAAAGCCAATATTTTCTCACCACCCTGGAGAGCAGAACTGCTGGGTATGTGTACAGGGGTATATTTTGTGTCCTGTTTTGAGCCCAAACCACAAAGCCATGGACTCCTGACAAGCTCTCAACATGACTCTTCAGCCTGCAAAAGTCAGAGGGCAGTGGGCTGTGACGCAGAGACAAGTGGTCACAGATGCCACAAAGCCATAAAAGCAGTGAGGTCTCGTGCCAAAAAAACCAAACCAAGAAACTATCTGTCCAGCCACCATGACATGGTTGGGCCCATAATTAACTGCTCCCTGGGCAGAGTGTGCTGTGTTTACAGCACTGACAGATTTCAGTGTATTCCCAAGCAGCACAGCGTGTGCTGCAAACAGGATCACACCATATTTAAACATCCCATACATTCCTGCAGTGCCAAGTCACTGCTGCTCAGGGCTGGCTGGACCATGCCATTCCTGACTGCTGGGAAAAGAACAAGACTTTCCAAGACMGGTCATTAACAGGAAAGGAAGAGCATGAGGAGCACCAGCACACAAGCAACATGGCCATCTCATGGAACACTTCAGCAGCAGAGTAAGAACAGGAAAGCAACTTGTACCACACCTGGAGGTGGATGCAGCCAGTTCTCCCCTGTATTCACCTCCAATAAAAAACACTGCACAGGAAATCAGGGTATTAGGGGAGGAAGCCCCATTCTGTTCTTAAGCTCATCAACATTTCCTTCCCACTCCACCAGCCCCACTTACTCCAACTGCTTTCCCACTCTGCTCACAAAGCTGAACAGGTATCAGCCATGGTCTTCCCTGGCCCTTCCACAAACTTAATTTCTCCACATGACATCCCAAAGCTCTGGTTTCTGTAATGTCTAGCCTCAACCTACATTCTCCTCCTCCCTGCAAAGGCCTTTGCACAGCTCAGAGAGATGTCCCAGGCATCCCATCCASTGTTCTGCTACTCTCAGAAGCAAGGTCTGCATGGAGAGAATCTATCTCAAGCCAGCAATCCTCCCTTAATTAAGTCTTCCCTATCCTGCAGCCCTGGGATGCTATTCACTGACTGTGATCACGGGAAATCAATAACACAGGTCTATTTAGCTACATCCTTCAGGAGCCCTTGGAGAGCAAACAAACAWCCCACTGTGACAGGTAGCAGCAGAATTCAAGCTTTCTAGGGCAAATTCAGACCTGAGAAGTCAAAATTAAAGGAGTTTATAAAGAACATGAGCCTGCAGAGCAGTTTTTGGAGTGCTGGGAGGAAGGCTRTTCAGGGGCTCTGCAGCTCTCCCTCCTTGGCAGGTCCAGTCCCTGAGTGCACCATGTACCCTGGCTCTGTTTTTCCCCAGCAAGTGATTTCTTTTGTGCTCTTTAGAAAAGAATCCTAGAGAGGAATAATTTGCAAGCTGTGTCTAGTGTCAGACACAGTCACTGACTTCATAAGACCCCAGAGCTCCAGTTTTGCACCACAGGAGTCCAYTGAGAGCACAGCTTGGTGTTTCTGCTAAAACCCCAAGGACAAAGCAAACACCATTACTGCAGTTCCTTCCTGGGGGTTGTTAGCAAGGAGCTCTGTTCAGGAAAGAAAGGACACACGTGTTTGCAGCTGCCTTGAGAGAAGCTCACACCCAGTTATTTGTCTACCATAAAATTAAAGCTTTCACCTGACTTTGGCAATGCCAAGACTTCACATTTAATGAACACAAGCCTTACCTTACTCAAAGCCCTCAGAGCTTTGAGTAACCTCAGAAGGTTAGCAAGGAGAAGAGAGCCAGGTTTCTTGAATAATACAATAGAATTCTGTGTTTTAGGAAGGGCAAGTCTCCACTGCAGCATGAATGAGTCACAAATAAATGCAACAGGGAGGTGAAGCTGTTGGGAAGAACATTGCAAGCCYACCACACTCACTGCATTTGATGGGAATGTTCCAACAGGTCCCCTGCATGTCTGGCCTTGTCCAAGGCCAGCTCCTGAATAGGGAAAAGTGAATACATGTTTTGACAATGAATAGATACATCTATCACATTGCTAATGATACTTGGAGGACATGAGTGGATACAAATTTAACATTTGGTTGTGAGGTCATCTTTAGCTCAGGGACTGTTGTTCAGGCCTCAGGGCTTCAACTGAACAAGCACCAGGCAAAAACTGTTGGATTTCATTAAACCCCAGCAACATTCCCTATACATGTCAAACTTCTCCCTCTTAACTGGAATTAAGCAAGAACATAGGGAAAAGACTTGTGGGAGGTAGTAACTCATCATCAATTTCAGCTGCTGAACAAGAAAGGAGAAGCAGCTGGAGCAAACCCATAATTGAGTGAAAGCACACTGAAAAATTACTAGTAAATCCATTTCATAGGAATTGCTATAAATTGAGATGTATAATTACATTCAAACACATACAGCTCAAGCTATTTTGTGTTTATAACCTCTAGAACACACAGAAGACGCAATTCCATAACACAGAAAAGTTTTACCACCTGGGTACCATCAGCTAATTGCATTCAGGTGTGAGACRTTTGACCTTAAGGAGAACACAGGTGCACCCAATACAATCGGGGGCACCCAATCAGCACAAGAGAGGCGCAGGGCACATAGAGATGTCTCCCAATATGGTGAACAAACATTTCCCAGACACACAGCAGCATTTCATGAACATTAAATATTCCAGGGAGCTACAACATGTAGTTCAGAATTGTTTGGATTGGAACAGACCTTGAAAAATCATCTAGTCCACCCCTCYGGCCCAAASAGACAGGTTTAATCCCTGAAACTGYTTTGCCCATGTAAGAACAATCAGCCACACACTCCATTCTCGAGAGGATTCACAGCCCCTTCCCAATGCTCCTGTTGCTGTGAGACACAAAGTTCCCTGCTCTGCCCAGCTGAGTGAATGCACACAGACCACCATGGCAGTGTCCCCCCTGCCACATACAAACAGCAGACCTGGAGCTTTTAGTCAACACAATCCACCCTTCACAAGAATCACAGTTATTCTGAAGCTACTCTATTTATTCCATAACATATCTTCTTGGGGAAGCCTCTTTGGGCAACAGGTAGTTTTCAGAACTACAAGCCATGGTTTACAAGAGGTTTCTACCACAACCACTATACCTGACTGACCTGTCATTGAAGGGAGGCAAAAAATTACTGCAGAAGGCGCAACTACATCATCCCCAGAAGCAATTCCCTTGCATAAAGAAAACAAGGCTAATTTATACCCCAAAATCAGCATTTTAGTTGTCTTTTGAACAAGACAGTAGAACACTTTGGTAGGAAACTAACACCTGTAAGTACGTTGAAGCCATACCTTAAGAGGAGGCTTAGATTATATCAATAACCGGTTTGRGAACAGCCCAATTTGAACAAAACCAAGGCAGCCTTTCCCTCTAAAAATTACCACGTAGCTCGAGCACACTTGCAGCCTCACAGAGGTGCCGGCAGCACTTACCTGCATCAAGGAGGCACCAAGAAGTAACTCCSTCGGGAAGCCAAGGTTGAGAGGAGACTCCTGACCGCCTCCAGCGCTGTCATGTTCCAGACGGCCGTGCCAGGAGCCATCCGTGCGGCTCGGTGGGTGCTGCCCGGCTCCCTGAGGCGCCGCTCACCGGGCTCCCCTCACGCCGGGGCGGGAAAGGGGCGGGGCACGGGGGCGAGCGCATGAAGGGGACGGGACTTCTTTTTAAAGGTGGCGCGGGCTCCTCCCCCTGCCCTCGCTCCTCCCCTCTCCTGCCCTGCCCTCCCCTGCCCTCCCGCCCCTCCAGTTGTCCCCTCCCCTCAGGGCGGGGTTGCCCCCTACGCTCCGCCCCTCGCCCCCGGCGGGGCAGCGCGGGCAGCGGCACCGGTGGCAGCGCAGGCGGTACCGGCATGTCCTGAGCGGCGGCGGCGGCCGATCCGGGCCGGAGCCAGCACGGAGGGCTCGGTGGAGCAGCGGGCCAAGGGCCGGGCCCCCATGAAGGAGAAGGAGGCGGGCGCGGAGCGGGGCAAGCCCGCCACTTACACCGGGGACAAGAAGGCGCGCATGGCGGCCAAGACCAACAAGAAGTGGGTGCGCCTGGCCACCGTGCTGGCCTACGTGCTCTCCGTCTCGCTGGCCGCCATCGTGCTCGCCGTCTACTACAGCCTCATCTGGCAGCCGGTGCGCGGCAGCGGCGGCTCCTCCAGCCCCGGCCCCGGCGCAGCCGCCACCCCCGCGCAGCTCCGCGCCGCGCCCGCCGGACC